AAATAAATTTTATATAAAGGCGTATTCACAATAATTTGAACTGATATTAACTTCTTTTTAAAATAATATTTCCATTAGTTTGTAGCAATGAAGTCTTAAAAACAAATTTTATTTTGACAAATGTCAAAAATATTAGTTTGTGAACCAAGCAACATAAGGTGTAAAGTATGTAGCTGAACGAATGATAAAAAATCTTATGTCACATCATGTAAACTATTAAAGTTAAGTAGTCTTCCGCACAAAAATAAACAGAAATCATAAAATAATTAAACAGAAAAAATTAAATAATTAAAATAAAGATAAAATAATGTTTAGAACAAGAAATCAATAAAACAAACTCTACACTCAACATTTATGTAGTAGTCAATAAATATACACAACAGTAACTTTTTATAAAACTTATAACAATTTGTAAGCGATAGCAAAACGTACAGACGAACTAAAATTTGACGATAAAACCAATAAAGTAACGTGAAAAGTATATAAATCCAAGTCAGCAAACAATAAACTAAATTTATAACAAATTAAAAACAATAACTAATAGTATTGCAATAGCAAATAAGAAAGTTAGCATAAAAATATATTGTTATAACGGTTTCTACATAATAATTACAACATATATTCCATGCAAATTGTTAGCGGTACACCTTCAACGTACTTGTGCGTATTTAAAAATAAAAAATACTGAAATAAAACTGAAAAGTAATATACCAACTAAAGATAATGCGAATCTGTATCGTGTAGTGTGAAAGTGGTGAATTTTTTGTAAAATAAACACAACACTGCCACCTGAACATTGCATTTTCGGCATTTCACCATGGACAATTGGAAAAAATCCTACTTATGATGCAATTGACAACAATATATTAGTAAACAATATCAATACAAGTGCATAAGTATTACATACATACATCTACTACAGCATATACACATGCATAAGTATGTACTGTGAAAGTTATTAAATATTTACAAGTACATATATAGCAATAATAAAATATTTGAAGAGCTAAGTAACGCTGACTAAAACCACAAATTAACACAAAAACTACAAAAAATTAAGTAATCCAACAACTACTTATTTACCTACAGTACAGCGTACACATACATATGTAGATCACGTTATTTGACGCAGTTTATTCCCTCTTTCCTCCTTTTTGGTAGCGTAGTCAGTACAAAATGTTAAACACTAAACACTACTAAATTACTATACTTAATTAGTACATTTTAGACAAACTACTTACTGTCAGTCTAAAGTTTGTATGGTTTAATAAACACTACTACATATATTATAAAATTTATATATATATTCGTATTTGTATATTTTAGTGTATTAGCGACGTTAAAGATCTTAGATTTAATTTGTAAACTGTAATATATTATATACTATTTAGCTATCACATATGTATAAGTATATCTATATATTTAGGATTTTCTCTGTGTAGTTAGTTGCTAAAAGTTTACCTACTATTTACTACATACTTGTATACTATTAAATACTACTATGTATTTTCTGTTAAAACATATTTTTATTTTTATTTAAAATGTCTATTAGATATTTATTTAAAAGAAAACTATAAATATAACATTTATGTTGAAGGAAATTAATACACATACATATATACACTGAATGAAAATCGAACGAAAAAATAAAATTAATAATATTAAATTTAATAATTGTTTTTGTTTTATTAATTGATGCACTGAGGTAAGCCTAACAAGTCACTTAATATCGAAAGTTTAAGTGATTCATAGTCTGGAGGAAAATTAACAGTCACTTTTAATATCAAAGGTATCGAAAAACACACGCATACATCCCGGAGGCGTTAAAGGATTACGACGTTCTAGACATGCACTCCAACTAATTTATGGTGTGTATATTGGCATAAAAAAAAATCCATTAGCCTACAATACTATGGATTTAAATTCAATTTGGTAAGCGCACTTCGAAATTGTTAATTATTGCACACGCAAGGAATTTATCACGTAATTTTATTATTGTTATATGTTCATGTTAT